AGACAGTTGCACTCAGATTGTAGTCAATGCGGTTTCCTGTATATATCAAAGGGCAATATCACATCCCTTCGAAAAATCCAACTTCTAAAACTCCCCATGCGTATCACCATTCTACCTGTAAGTAGAGTTAGATCTATGCTATCTAAATAAAGTTTGGATCAGTGAGAAATTGTGATTTAACTTTCTGTCCTACCAGATACTTCCAAAAGTTCCTTAACCTTAAAACATTATGCATGCATGCAGAATCTCCTTGGTAGTGTTCAGTCACTGTTCTGACAACATCATCCAAAAGATGCTGAACAAAACATCAATGGCTACTTCAAAGAAAACCAATGGTCTTTCACCCGTATGAACCCCAAGTGTTCTGGCATCATGTTCTGGTTAGGGAGCCAGTCGACATTCTACCCCCAAAGTTTTTTTCTCCCTGCTTATTGGTTACTCTTCTCCTCAGCGGAACACGTGACAATAAAATCTGAAACCTGAACCTGAAAAATCTGTCTGGTCTGACAAGGATCCTGTTATGTCTGGTGTTAACTGTTGTATTTCACAGTAACCGCCACCTCATAACAGTAGCCAAATACAGACTGTCCCCCACTTACTAAGCGACTTACGACGACTCCTACATACAAGCTAAGTTTTTTTTAATAAAGCAAGTATGTGACAAGACATAGGACGGCGGTATGCTACACTACCGATTGCGTATGATAATAGCGCGGGAACGTACTGTACCGTCTGTACTGGAGCATCCCAGCCTCACACGCGCCCCCTGTCTCATTCACGCACCTAAAAGTCGATTAGTAAAAAGCGCGATTATCCCATTAAGAAATACGTCCATTTCGACGTACGATCTGTCTGTCATAAGTCAGGGACAGTCTGTATAGTGGGGATATCGCTGCTTTAAAACACCGCACAACACAGGAGGAACATGAACTGCACACACACAAAGCAGTCAGGGTTGAAGCCCTTAACCCACTGAACCATCACGCCACCCACTGTCACCGATATTGGTATCACTAGTATGCTTACTTTATACCAGGGGTTCTCAAAGTCTACATTCAAAGGTCCAAATCTGAATTTTCATCAATGACAAAGGTCCGGAACTATTGGTAATTACAAAACTTGTTTTTAATAAACATGTATAACAAATCAACATTCATTTTATGAAAAATAAGGTGCCTTTTGCATTCAAAATACATGAATAACAAGTGCAAAAGTGGCAAAATAACTCTTCACAACTCCATAGAAGGTGATAGTCGCCTGCGCAGCTGGGACACGCCCCCGGATCGCTCCTTCCTCCCTATTGGACAGTGCTGAAAGAAGGTGAGCCGCACCTTTCACCGGACATCAGAACCCTTTTGGAGGCGTGTTTGTTCAGCTACTTTCCCTGCTGTATGCATATTACCTGCAAAACTATTAGGGTCAAATGCAGATCTCTGAATGATTTTGAACCTAACCGGAACACGGACAGCCACCACACGAAGCTTGTTATATTTAACAGCTGGTTCAGTTCAATTTATACATCTTCTGCTACCAGAACAACTGCTTCCTGGATGCTCAAGAAGAGGTGTTTTTTCTGGAGTTGTTCAGAGTTTCTGTATAAATCTACAATAACATCACATGTTTAAAACTAAATATTCGTTTTATTTAGAGGAAATAATTTGTTTTCAGGGCAGGCCAAGGCAAAAATAATCCCATATGAAGTTACCTTTTTTTTAATTCCAAAATATTTTAATCTTTGAACTGTAATCTGGTATATCACAATGGTATATCACCGAGTATATTCGAGCCGGTAACCTACTGTAATTTTTTATACTACAGAAACAGAAATTGCGCAGTCACGAAAAGAGTAAGGTTTACTGGGTTGATATACTTTACCTTTTGCAGGATTTCACCTACGTAACATTAACAGTGCCTTCGGATACAGAGTAGGGTTTCTTCTGCAACGGAGGGGGCGAGGTGCTCCGTTTCAAGATAAAAAAGAATGAATAACTACGATCACAGCATTTCAACCGTTTTTATTCATTACATCGCTCTTGGGTTCATTGTAATGCCCGATGCTGAAGCAAGGCCAACATTTTTAGAGGACATTATTCGTTTCTATGGTCAAAATGACACGTTTTCAGTTGAAAGTCTGGAGAATATCTTGGGATTAATGAAAAAGGGAAGAGGAACTTACGACCTGAAGGATGACCAAAACTCCCTGGTAAATTCAAAGGTATGTGAAGTATTCATTTCTTTGAAAGTGGCACATTCACAAGGCAAATAAACAGTAGACAGCCTGTAGGTTTTAACTCGGTATTTTAATTCCTTTTTTCACTGACGTTTTAGAGATAAACCAGGTGCATTCCGGATCACGGGAATGGATGCGTCATTGATAGAAATAAAACTAGTACTGATTAACAAAATATCCTGTCTCAACTGATTTATCATTTCAAAGTAATAAAGTATTCAAATTTCAAAATCTCAAACCATTAAACTGAACATAGAGGTGTGAGCGTTTCCAGCAACAAGTACCCTTTATATGTTAGTCTGTAGTACAATAAAGAATATCATATTTGACTAGATCCACACATTGTCTTCAATGCTTTGACTAAAGGATATGCCTGTGATGACATCAAAAAGCATAATTAACTTCTGTATAAGAGCTGCACTTCAATGAAAACGTCAGAAATCTTGCTGCCTTTTTTGTAGTTAAAATGAACTGATACTTGCTTGCACATCTATTATATATTACTACACATGGTTATTTAATGGTTTACATGTAAAATGGTTTACTTGTGGTTTATGTGTTTTAATGATTAGAAGTTCTACATCATATATGGATAAAATATCTCATGAGTTGTGTAAGTAGGCTAATCAGGAATAAGACATTCCTCAATTTACTACACTTTTACAATTAGTAAAGGAGTATGATTGTGATTTTAATAACATTGCTGGTATATATCATCCATCCCTCTTATAACCACTAACACCTATACTGGTCAGAGTTCGTCATTTAGCACAAGGCACAACGCTCGCGTACGCTATGGATGGCATGGGCTCTACATTTGCAGAATGTAAAATTTAAACATTTATAAGTTAATTTTGCCCTGCAATGGGTTGGCACCCCAATCTGGGTTGTTCCCTGTCTTGCGCCCGTAGCCTCCAGGATAGACTCCGGACCCCCTGCAACCCTGAATAGGACAAATGGGTGCAGAAAATGGCTGGCTGGATAATGTAAATGGTAGATTTGTCAAAATGGGAAATGTTAGTGACTGAATACTAAAAGTATAATGGACAAAGATTATTTTTTGGTTCAAAGTTCTTGTTCTTTCTAGTTTACATTATAGGGTGCAGGGTGTTGATACAAAATACATTTGTTTATCTGCAAAAGGCTTATTACATCTGATCTCACATCTCACCATGTATAGCAAACATTAAAGAGCATGTCAATGGACTTCCTACAACATGGCAGGCATGGTGGGTAAAAGGCCAACTGCTGTACACTGACCTGTGGTTTGTTTCATTGGACAACAGTGTCTTTCAGCCACAGAGGTTTTGTCCCAATATGATCTTATCAACCACACTGAGCTGAGTGTGGAACATCTGCAGCACATCTGCCCGGCTCTCCTTCACCAGGGGGTGCTGTCTGCTTGCCCCGACTCTGTCCCACACAAGCGTGTGGACTACAAAGGTGAGAGCCAGTCTCATTCTTAGGACGGAGCGCTTCTTTTCAACTAAAAGACAAATGTGCAGTAAATCACCAAATTGAAGTGAACATCAACCTGAAGTGTCTTAATGGTGTGTCTGGCTGCCATGAGCTGCAGCTGTAGGATAGATTCTTCAAATGCATATGTTATTATGGCGGTAATCTAAACTGTTTTTCCAGAGTCCTCATAGCTGATTATTTTGGTTTGAATCTGATCACCAGCGGCCCGTATCACAAAGCAGGATTTCTTGCTTAGTCAGGTAACTTGTCATATTTAAGGTAGTCTGGGCTAAATGTAAGTGAACAAAAATAAAGTCCATTCAATCTGGGGCACCTTAAATCCAGCAAATTATCCTGCTATGCAGGACATCCTGCTTGGTGATACAGGCTCCAGAATTACCATTGAAGATGGTTATATTTTTTTCCTATGGAGGAACATGAATCAGAAAATGTACATGGCACCATAGCTGTCAGAATCTTACATGATAGGAAACACACTTCAGCCTGTAGATTTGTTGAGGACTAGGTTAATACTTCCTGGTAGGGCTGCACGATATTGGGAATAAATCACATTGCAATATTTATTCTTTCT